TCATATAACATAAAACGTTCTGATTTGATGCTAAATGTTTGAAGTTATAGCACTTAATTCAATAATAACATTAAAATATATAACATTAAAAGCTTTAGTATTTCAGCTTTCTTTTAAGATATCATACATAGATGCAAGAGATAGAATCCAAGATTATCTTTGACCGATGAAAGCCTTTCTGAGTATCTCAACCTTCCCAATACTGAGATATTCAAATATAACGCATCACATTGTGTTGAATTTCCTATTAAACAAGCTTACTTTTATGATAGTATTGCTATATCTTGGCTGCCATATATGAAAATATCTGAATATATCCAAAAAATACAAAAGTTTGTGCAAGTTTTGACATCTTAACTTAGAAGTTACGACCAGTTAAACATTTAATTTCGTCTGAGTAACCTTATCTATCATTCAATATAACGCATCATATTGTGTCGTATTTCTTAGTTAAAGAATAAGTGTAAAGGACTTAGGATCTTGTATAAAAGTTCTGTGTACTAGATTAAGGCATAGTAAGTGTCCTTTCCTGATGCATCTGAGTTAATGTCCTCTATATTTTATTTAAACTCTATATTACTATATCTTTGATATAATACAAATTTCTTTTTCGATTTTTACATAACAATATGAATTTAAAACTTTTCGTATACCATAAACCTTTTTAAGTAAAATAAATTTCGGCTGTCACTGGAAATCCTAAAAATCCTCTGTTTAGAATGATTATAAATCCTCGGAAATCCTTTAAAATTCCTCGAAAATTAGAAGTGCCAGAAACGCTTGTACGAACAAAAAGCTAATAGATTTCATTTATTAATAAAGACTTTTTGGCATAGATCTTCTTTTTGGCAAACGTCTTTCTATTACGCATTTTTAGAATATAAAGAAGAATAATGTTTTGTTAATTTCAAGTGATACACATAGCTATTATTATCATTTATAGTCAATTCTATTGAAACTGAAGATAATTTGAAGGGATTCATAAATATACTGATGTACATAATCTGAAATAAAGACAACATTAACATTACTTTATTAAAAGAATTTGCCGAGTAGGATATTGCTAATAAAATTATTTCAATAACAACAGCCAGTGATGAAATTCTCTCTATATAATCATACGTTTTGACGTAGCGCTGAAATTCTAGAATTAAATTAAAGCTTCCTGGAACATAATTTGGAACTGTTTCAATTTGTACCGCAAACGAAAGCGTAATTGTATATACTACAATATAAAATATGCAAAGCATGTATTTAATTCTTAATTAAAAAAATATTTATACTCTTAAACTCCCTCAACGATCACATTTTTTTAAATTTCTATTTAAATCCCTGTGGCTATATGCTTGTGGGAGATTAGAACTTGTACTTAACTTATAAAATGGTGGTTTTACCTGCACGTGATAGGTTCTTTATTAGTTTACCTTGGTATAAAATAAAGTTTTGTTAGTTGAAGGATCAATATCTCTTTTTGAAAAATGGTTCGTGGCTTTGAAACAGTCGCGAGCAGTAAACCGTGTCAAAAATGTGTACACCATAAATAATTGTAGAAAAAATAAATTCAGGTTTACCATGAAAATCTTTTGAACATTTTTTCCCATTCTTATACTTTGGTTATATTTTTGCGCTTGAAACATGCTTGGTTTGCTTACAAAACTGAACTATCATTTCACAATGAATGTAATTAATTTCGCGAGTTGTACCCAGTATTGTTGTTAGTATAAAACCGCCGAAAACAACAGGTAACACGTGTAGAGACCTGAAAACAATTCGGGTATTGCACCGAATACATGATTTGCTGCAAGAAAACAGTCTTAAATTACAGTAATCAGCTACTACATTTGAAAAACAAATCCAGAATTATAACGAGCAAACATTTTATGGCAAAAACATCGCTTACATTAAGCAGACTTAATGTCAAAAATTACGTTGGCCAAATTCCGTAATTGCACCGACAGAATTATTGGCTGTAAAATAAGCATTGGTAAAACTTTAGACTTAAAGAAAATGTTTGGAATTGTACTGGATAAACGATATATTGCAAGCAAAAGTTTAGAATTACTCCTATTAGACTCGAACCGTCAACAGCAAAGTCTGAAATGAAACCTTACAGAAAAAATATTGTGTAGTTACTAAAGCTAGAATGCAAATTTCAAGAAAATGCCAGGAATTACGCTGATCAAATTCAAAACTCCTAGAAAATAGTTAGAATTATTCTGGTCATCCTCCCGTTTTGAAAAACATGCATAGATTTAAACCAGACACCATACAATAAAATAAAGCTTAAAATTGCTGCTACCACGTTCAAAACTTCAAAAAATAACAAGAACTATTTTTTCCTAGTCTCAAATTAAAACAAAAAGTCTAGATTTACATTGACAAAATTCTATATACAAGAAGAATACCCTAGGCAGTTCCCAAAATTGAAAAACAAGTCTTTAATTACTCTTTCCAGGCTCGAAATGAGAATTAGCCGACTTTGAAACTTAATAAAAAAATCTGGAATTACACGTGTAGGTTTCTAGACTGTAGAAATAAGTGTGAAATACGTTGATATGATTCTAAACTGTAAGAGGAAGCCTTCTATTGAATTTACAGGAGAATTTAGAGACTTGAAGAAAATGTCTGGTATTTCATAAAATAAATGACATACTGCAAAGAAAATCTGGAATTGTTGTGACTCCTCAATTCAAAAACAAGTATGGATCAGGCACCATATAGCAAGAAAGGCTTTTGAATAACTTTTGAGTTAGCTCATAACTTCAAGAAATATCAGGAATTACACTGTCAGTACACTGTCAGTATTTCAAAGTGCAAGAAAATGCCTGGAATTGCATTGGCAACATTTTGAAGTGCAAGAAAAAATCTATAACTACACTGATTATTCTCCAGACTTTAAGAAAATGTTTAGAATTGTACTAAGTAGATGACACACATGAAGCAAAAGTTTGGAATTATTCTAGTTGGACTACATATTTCTTCTACTACTACAAAACCATACCTGGAATTACAAAGACCAGATGCTATGCAACAGTTTGGGAACAGTTTGGACTTGCTGAAAGTAAAGTTGAAACTTCAACAAATCGCCTGGAATTACATTAACAAATTTAGGACTGTAATAAGAACGCTGTTGTTACATTGACAAAACCTCAGACATTAAGAAAAGTTAGAAACGTTAATAGAAATCCTAAGTGGAAAAAAATATTTCTTATTATACTGATCAGTTTCTAAAATTCAAAAACCATTCTAAAATTATTATAACCAGACAATATAAAAGAAAAAGAACTTTGGAATTATTTTTATCTGACTCAAAACTTTAACTAACTGTTTAGAATTATAGAGGCAAATCGAAACTAATGTCTATAATTATGTTTCAAGACGCCATATTTTAAGAAAATGTAAGTACTCAGGATAGATATCATACCGCAAGGAGCTGTTTGTAATTATACTGACAGGATTCGATACTTACAGAAAAATGTGATGTCTTACTAATAAATGAATTCCGCTGAAAGAAGTCTAGAACTGTCTAGTCAGACTCCTCACATCAACTACAATTGTGGGTATGCTCAAGGCAGACTCTACACTTCAACAAATAGTTTGGAATTATTCTTGTCCAACTGAAAGTATTGAGCAAATGTATCTCTTACTGAAAGATAATAAAAGCTTTAAGATAAAAAAGCTACTTTAAGAAAATGTTTGGAAGCAAAGAATGTAATTAATTCTAAATTGTGAGAAGTTGAGAATTGCGGCAACCAGATACTACACAATAAAAATCGAATTACTCTATCCAATTTCCAATATAATATATGTAATTGCACTAACGGAATATTTTCAAATGCCTTAACCATCACGCCAACGTCAAAGTAGAGTTTTTAACAAGCGCGTGATATGGTCTGGAATAATATAGCAAGGAATTTCTGATGGTATTTTGTGGAACAATAATGTCAAAATACTTTATCATAGCTATAACAAGAGTTTTTATGAACAATCCATACCACTTAACAACATCGGTGCTTTACTCATTTCCCCCAAATTCGTTGTGATACCATTTTACAACCAGTATCTGAGAATTTTTGAAACAAATTTAAAGTCGATACCTTAGAATTTTACAGCATTACGCAAATGAATACAGTATCGAGTAATAAGAAAATTACGTTAGTTTATGTACTATTTCCTTCAGTAATTCTTGTATTTTAGTATAATATCGTTAGAGAATATATTGAACGCTACAAAATCAAGGAAGGACTTCCGATTAGGATACGCTATATTATTAAAGAAGCTGATATTTCCTTGATTTGACTCATTTCAATATTAATAACGTCATTTATTATATCTACAGAAAACGTTCTTGTATATTAATACTAATTTTATAATATTAGTAATCCCAGTTGATTCTTTTTATCCATTTATCTAAAAAGAGGCTAATTTTTATTTTCTTATAGATCCACTCCATAAATAATCGTGAGCGACAACAATTCGCAAAAGAACCTAAATATCTTCTAAAATTACTATTATACATTTGCCTTCATAATCTTATTTTTAACCACGAAATAAATTTTACACAAGACTTATTTTCCAAGAAATCGTTTGGTTTTAATCTAACTAAATTCGAATTGTATTATATTAGCAGTAAAAGCACGTTCTCTTACTACACATATATTCCAATGAAAATAATATAGGTATTGTTATATGTATTAACTTTTTTGACAGTTGATTTAATTAAATAAATATATAAATAAATGGTCTATTATTTATTTCATTGAGGTGGAATTTTCCAGTTTGTATTTATTTTATATCTCCATGGATATGTGTTAATACACTTTTAAAGCGGTGGGTTTAATTTTTAATGAAAAAAGAGATTTATATGGAATTAATTTTTAATGTGTTTAGTACAAGATTAAAAAATTAAATACACTATCAACACAAACTCTTGATTTTAAATAGTAAACTTAAATTGATGTAACTTACTTAAAGTTAATAACCTCTTTTTTTTCTTTTAGGTTTAAGGAAAGTTTACCCCTATTATTTCACGTTTACTACGTTCACGAAGGGTAGATGGGTGGGCGAGAGAATATTAGATGTATTTGCACGAGAATTTAGAGCGCATCCAGCGGAAGAGTATGAAAGATGCATCCAAGCGGGTACGCTAACGGTTAATTACGAAAAAGTGCCCACCGACTACAAATTGAAGCACAATGATCTCCTCGCAAACGTCGTTCACAGGTTTGTAACTTTTTTTTTGTTCCTCTTATTTATTTAAATCAAATCAAATTAAAATTATTTTATGATTAGGTGTGTACATAATCAAATTTTAAGAAAACCTCATTTTTTTATTTGGGGGCTTTTATTTGTAGTTTTTGTACAAAGAATGTCTTTATTTTGTTACTCTCCCATCCAGTTCCAGTAAGTTAAAAAAATTGTTAATTAATAATTAAAAGGATCAATTTTATTGATCTTATCGTCGTCGGATTTCGACGATTTCCTTAAGTTATGTGTACCTAGAGACGTACATACGTCACACCGAAGTGATTCAATGTTACAGACACGAAGTGCCGGTCACTAGCCAACCGATCACCATTGTACACATGGACGAGGATATTGTGGTGGTCAACAAACCTGCCTCTATCCCCGTAAGTGGCCGACAAGACTGCCATTATATTATACATATTCTGCATCATACTGTTTTGCTTTATGTAGTTAGTATTTATGTTCCAATTCATGGCACGTTTCCTAAACTAAAAAAATTAATTTCCTTCTAATTTATTGTATTTTAAATCCAATTTTAATTTATAATTTAAATTGGGTTTAAAAAATTAATATTATAATATTAAACAATGCATAAACTAACAAACCACGCCTTGTATAAAAAATACAAGTCGAAAACTCCTCTCTCTGTCAGGTTTGGTTATTTGCAGACACGAGACACCCGTGTTAGCAAACCCAATCAAGCTAATTCATGTCGATGAGGACATTGTAGTTTTGGATAAACCATGCTCGTTACCGGTGAGTAGCCCGAGAAAAACGCACACACTAAACCACCCACGTGCCGTACACGTGTGTTAAAAGGTGTTTTCACCAGGTCACCATCCCCCCATATTGTAGGTTTTCACCACCGCCAACCCCTGTTTGAGGAGAATCAAGGGGTTTTGTTGTTCAATCCTCAAAAAAAAAAATTAACTACATATTCAAATTGTATTCGTTGTACAATTCTGTTAAGAACGATTTTTGACTTGACCATTGGCAGATCCATCAACAGGGACAATGAAATCTGCTAATCAATAAACCAAATTAAAACTAAACGAAGAGTACGTTTCTTTTTTTGCCTGGTTTAAAATTTGTGGTTGTGAGATTTTGTTTTTGTTAATTTCATTAATTTGATGATAAAATTAAAAATATGTGGAATATTTAAGAAAGTATTAGCTCTGATTGGGTTTGTACTTGTATATCAAGCTTATCGCTTAATATACCCATTAAACTATTTGATGTTTTCCTCACTAACATTGTTGTTTCTAATATTCATTTAAAAGTCTTACTAATATTATTGTTTAAAGATTTTAATAACCTTTTAAAATCTGTATACAATGCAAATATCTTTTTGTGCAACCACTCGTAAAGTAAGACCTTCATGGGCTCTTAGTAGACCGGAAAACAAAATTTTATATTCGCTAATAATTCAGTGCTCGTTATAACCAGACACTTTAACGAAAGCAGAGTTTTTTTAAAAACACTCATTATTTTGTTGATAAACTAAAATTACGCGTGTATTTTTGGTTACACAAAAAATATTGCGTACATCATGGTAGTGGAATTTTATTCGAGAGGCCAAGATTATCTTTCTCTCGACTCTAAAATTATATTTCTCAGCATTGTTGTACAAATAACCATTAAAATTAAATGTATATGTAGGGTGTTTTAAAATTAAATACTAAAATATAAAAATAAATAATAATATGAGTTGATGTTAAGGATTTGTAAAAAGCTATTACTAATATTGTATAATCGATAAAAATTAATAAATTATTTAAAATATGAGACAAATTGTAACAGCTGGTTGAGTTTAATTAAATATTTTGTTTCAAGAGGTGGTTTTGAGAAAAATTTTACTTTTTGATTGCAAATCTCACTCTATTTAGATGTACTGTAGGTAATAAAATTGGACAATAAACAGTTACTTTGTGAATACACCTAACGAAAATATGCACAAATACAAAAGAAAATATCAGAACTCTATCATAACTTCCGTGGTTTTGACAGCTAAAAGCTCTGAAGGGATGTTTCATTTTTCCCCTCCATATTAGAGGTTTGAGTATTGTGTATTTTGTGGAATTGTCTCACAATATAACAATTGTCTAATTGATATCTTTTACAATATCTGTCTTAGCTCTTACAAAATCATCAAATCTAAGATAATATATAGAAAATATGGAGCGAGTGGAACTCATGGTAAATGTTATTTTATTATGTAATCTTAACACAGCAATTCAATAAATCCGTAAACCATTTAAAGCTAAAAGTTCGATTTTACAGATTTCAGAATTGGTTGCATTCTTCATTTTCTAATTTATTGCTTTTCTCCGTATTTCTTCATTAGTACGAACTATTACTTTATGTACTAAATCACATCACTTACAAGTGGCGAAATTAGTTACATGAATCAAAAACTTGTTTTGATACAGCTCTACTACCTGGGTGAAAATATGCGTTCTCTTTTATCTTTGATACATGTTTTCAGAAACTATAATTTGAGACCTTATTCGAACGAATGTAACAGATAGAATGCCTTTATAATTGGTCTAGAACATCTTTTGTATCGGTGTAGAATTGGAGGGTTATGAGGCATTCTAGTAAATTGTATGGGTATTTCACAATTTGAACCTATCAACAACTGCTTCTTTCAATTTCTTTGGAGTCCACTCAGTCGCTAGTCAGTAAAAGTGAGTTAAGTCTTCACTCTCCTCAACGTTCTAAAACTTCTTTTAAGTGTTGGCAAGACGTTGGCACGAAATTCATACAAAAAACAAAAATTCAACTTTTGTCAAAGCGTTATGAAGTGTTAAATCTGTTAAAATTTGAATCCCTTGCCAATATTGTAACCATGTGTCAACTTCTGCACCAAGGTTCTGTATGGAATAAACTTAATTGTCTGATTCTGGTTTACTCATCAAATATCTTGGATGCACGGATGTTAAAATCTTCTTAAGAAAAATTCCTCTGGAGCACTTATGCACGTCATTTCAATTAGGCTATTTTACAACACTTTGAAGAGCATTGACGACAGACTCTATGTTCGAACTATACTTTGCTATTATATCCATAATAACAATGATGTTTGATTGCGACGTTGTCAAAATAACAATATTCTTAATACTTGCAGAATAATTGTTAATTTTCCAAACTAAGCAGAAGTCATTAATAACTAAATTCAGTCTATGTGATGTACAATGGACAAGATTGTTTTCCATTGTACCGATTGTTTTCCAACCATTCTTGGAAATCATCAATAGTTAAATCAATTAAACCCAAACCCACGAGTTAGTTCATGTCTGATATATGTTAGACAATTCGTCAGCTAAAATAAAAAAATTACCTGAGATTTCATGATCTAATCAATTAATTTTAATATTTCCACAAAATTTGCTGACTGAAATTCCTTATATTGTTATTGAAATGATAGCAAGGAGTGTCTTTCAATTCTCCTCCACCTATCTGGAGGTGGAAATGTCATGTGTAAGTTTCTACCATATTTTAAAATTGTGTATGTGTAAGCGACCATAATTTCCCTTTTGAATGAAGTTTTGAGTCGTCTTTAACACCAGTCTTGTCTACATAAAAGTCTTAACATAATTGTCTATTGCTATTGATTACTACGAGGAATGATCTTATATATTGTTCCATAAATCAGGCACCACTTCAAAAGATATAAAAAGTTTGACTATCTGAGGTAAATCTGGCCTCGCTACATAATTTTTCGTTTCTATTTTATAGGAATTAACATAGACTATATACCCCTCCAACTATCAACGTATCAAAAATATGCAAAATAAAATCCAAGATTGGAATTTGAACAATACCTATGTTACCTAGTCCTCCACTACAGCAACTTCGCTGGAAGTTTTACGACTTACTTTAAACTTCATTGTAACGAAACAGACTTCGCTATGGGGCAAATCATCATCACGCAATTTGATCTTTTTCACTTTATTATTGTATATTAACAAACACCAGCAGGCGATTCCATCACACAATTTCAGAAATCTATTCAACACCTACTCAAGATAAATACAATACAAGTTCTTTTCTTTTATGAGGTTGAAAATCCTAAGAAATACGTTTTGCCAAACTTCCTAAATTTAACATTTCGCTTTTAAAATTATGTTAACACGTTTTTAGGCAAAATTTGAATCCTATATTATTTTGAAGATATTGAATCTAATCGACAAAATAAAGCGGGCAAAACTTGCAGATGACTCCAATTAAAACTTATCGTAATGATCAATCTCTATCACAAGAAAGCAAATCGAACAACTCCACAGCTGTTTTACTTATAAACTGGTACAATCTTAACAGTAGCCGATGAAAATGTTTGAAGCTGCAAAAGTCCTAATGGATGGTATTTTAAATATTTATGCACGGTAGATGAATGACTAATTCAAGCATGCTTCGAAATCATCTAATTCAAATAAATCACTAAAGCAGAATATTTCCCTTAAATCTAAAGCTTGGTTAGCTTAATTTTAGTCACAATGTGTTCAAAATATAAATTTGTTCTTGTTCATAGCAAACAAATCTAATAATGTAGCTAACTCAACTAATTTTTTCTTGAACAACGAGGCGTCTTTGTCATCTAATGACACTCTGGGGATAATTTTAAATAACCTTAGTATCCAGATGGTCTAACTTTTAATTTTAGAAGTTTTGGAAAATAAGGGTGGTAAGTGGACTTTTTGTATTTTTTGCATAGGCGGAAATTGCTGTTAAAAAATGATAAACTACTATCCACTGTTAAAGACCATTCTAATGATGTATTTATTCATAATCTCAAAAATTGTAGTAAGCAATTGAAAACATAGACCAAAAACGATATAAAAATGTTAAGAAATACTGTTTTAATCTAAGTATCAAAATCTCGATCTTAATTCTCTGAATATCAAAATGTTTAACTAAATCGTCATCTAACTAATTTTAGTCTAGCTAAGGCAGATGCCAAATTCACGTTTTATTGGGCTATAGACAACAACTATCGTCTACTTCTTCTTTTATTAAGAGAAAGTCTTGTTTTTTCTATTATAAATTACTAACCCTCTGGAAAAGCGGATGTCAAACTTTCATGCCATCTCTTGGGTGGTCTGCCAGAAAGTCTCTTCGATATGGGCTTTTCTTCTTTTGTCCACTTCGCTTATGGTCATCCATTCTATCAACATGGTCACTCCAGTATCTTCGTATTGAAGTAGTGAATTTAATAGCATCCTAGATATATAGATCCACTCCCAAATAAATGCAATTCATATTTATTCATATTCATTGGTTTATTATATACTGCCATCTTATATCTAGTTAGATCCTTCGTTGTTTCCAATGATTCTGTATTTCTTACAGCAGACGTTGCTGATATTTATATAGCTGTCATGGTAGATAGTTTTCATTTTCTGTCAAATTTTCTTTCTGTTTTAATTGATATATTGTCCATTCTGTTACCTCGTTCAACCTCTTTAACACTTCATATGATTTTGTCCAGACTGTTTCTCTCCCGGATTCCTTTCAGTACAGGTATATCTCTTGTGAGTTAATTATTTGCTCTAATTCGTGTTGGTTTCGTTCAGTTATTCTATAATTATACTATAGTTAGGGCTAATATCGTGGTCTTGTAGAATAGTGAGTACATCAGGAAATCTCACCCTATGAAAAGCCTTTTTAATTTCGATAGTTGCATGCTTATTCGGTAGAGTTATAGTCAAGGTCGTTTTTGTTTGCCTTCTTAAAGAGTCCTCGAGAGATAATTTTTTGAAGCAGCATATCTCTCCCTTAAACCCTACTTTAACTAATTTCTTCTTGAGTAACGGAGCTTCTTTGTTATCAGTATGAATGATATAAAAACTCTATTAAATGCTGCTAATTACAACGAAATTTAGAATATTCATAAAATCAAAACAATATGGACGTGATTTTAGAATTTTTAAAGCTTTGGAAAGTAAGGGTAGGAAGTGCACTTTTATAGTAATATGTGGTTCCAACACTAATTGTCAAAAATTCAAGGGATCAAACTACAAGTTGTCTTCGGGTGTCAAAATTTCGAATAGAAAAAATAAAACAATTAACTAGTCTTATATTTAAAGTTTTGATCTTTCAAATTCTATAATTCGTATAAGACGTCTCTTACGGTCTATATTATGCGATCAATAACTTTATCAAGACCAACAATAACTTCCTAACATCGTCTTAGTTTAATTATAATTTTAGTTAATAGTTTAATTATAACGAAGATGTAGAATATTAATGTTAACTTTCTGCAAAACTTTAACTCAACTTGTTATTTTATATCATAATATTTTTTTGTGTCTAAAAGATTTTTTACGTAAGGTTTTATTTGGTAGAATACATCTGAAACACCCTACGTATCATAAATAAATAAGATGTAAAAATATCTAATGAGTTTCTAAAACCCATTTAATATGGATCAAAAGAATTTTTAAAATATTATGTGTGTTATATAACGATAATTCAAAAAGTATTTTTACATCTTTGTATAATCTGCTTTACGTTACATTTACGACTTATTTTTTCCATCTAAATAAGAAATAAATTCTTAAATAAAAATAAAAGGTAAATTTTCCTTAAAAATTCTATTCTCTCTTATAAAATTTATGTTCCGAACTTAATTCCTTCGAAAATATGGCTCCAAGAAGTAGCTCAACCCAACCGAACCTAACGTAGAATTCCCTTCTTGCCACACACACATACACACACACTAATTCTTCAGGCTCAAGTCCAGTTTTCTGCTCGGTAAAGTTTTATCACGAGCTTCCAACAGGTTAGTGGGGCGAACTGTGGTTCCGGTGCCATCGAATTTGCATTTAGATCCACTATTATTTCGCCTACGTCCACGAGAAAGATTAATTTTTCCCTACAGTCAACTTAATCTACACATTTTACACCCATCCCTTATGTTGATTCTTTGCATGAATCGTATTCACCATCCGCAAAAAAATTTGTTTTTAAATCTTTTCTATCGCTCTTTTCTTTTGCTTTATCTTCCGAAATAATTTCAAGTTAAAACAAAGTAAATAAAACGAAATTTTAAATATTTAGGTTCATCCTTGTGGAAGATATAGACATAATACGGTAGTCTTCATTTTGGCTAAAGAATATAATTTGAAGAATTTAAGAACTATCCACAGGTTAGATAGGTTAACAAGTGGGTTGTTATTATTTGGAAGATCACCGAAAAAGGCACGACAAATGGAACATCAAATAAGAAATAGATTGGTACAGAAGGAATATGTTTGTCGTGTTGAAGGAGAATTTCCAGAGTAAGTACCTTTTAAATTCGAATTCGATTTAAATAGATTGAAATAAATTTCTTTGTACACAGTGAAATAATCGAATGTAAAGAACCAATTGAAGTTGTCAGTTATAAAATCGGTGTTTGTAAAGTATCACCAAAAGGAAAAGATTGTGTAACGATTTTCCAAAAATTAGGATACAATGGGAGATCTAGTATTGTTTTATGTAAACCAAAAACAGGTAGAATGCATCAAATCAGGGTCCATTTACAATATTTAGGTAAACTGAAAAAAATTATTAGTTCGAAACAATTATTAATTCAATTTTTATCTTAGGTTATCCAGTTGTTAACGATCCTTTGTATAATCACGAAGTTTTTGGTCCAATGAAGGGTAAAGGTGGCGATTTAGGTGGAAAAACCGACGAACAACTCGTCAGGGATTTAATTCATATTCATAACGCTGAAAATTGGCTCGGAATGGATGGAGATAGTGAATTATCAATGTTTAATCCGAGAAAAGGAGATTTAGATGATTCATTAGTTGGTGCTTTAGTACCAAAAGGTGATTTATAATTATTTTTTTTTTAAATTTTTATTTAAAAATGTTATTTTTTAGATCGTGTGTTAGGTGATGATGATGCAGATCCCGTTTCAAGAGAACCATCTCCATGTGAAGACCGATGTGAAACAAGTTCATCACTTTCGTGTACATCACCACACCCTCTTTTGGTGTCTCCATTAACCAATTCAAGTAGAAATGATGCAAAAGTAACGGTTGCGACGCAAACTGGACATGAAGCACCGGATCATTCTTTTAATCCGGATAAAATGACGGTGGATAAACACTGTTATGAGTGTAAAGTAAGATATAGAGATCCAAAACCACAAGATTTAGTGATGTATTTACACGCTTGGAAATATAAGGTATGATTTTAATTTAAATTAATTTAAAAAAATAACACTGATCGACAAAAATGAACTTTTAATTTGTCACATGAACTTTTTTGGATTTTTTACTTTATTTTTACTACCTCAGGTGGAAAATAGGTAGAAAAAATTTGCACCCATATTTCTTTTGTGACACGAACTTGGCCGAGACTTTATTTGCAATTAAACTTAAAAAAATATTTCTTAAAACTAAATGTTAAGATTTTCTTTTCTTCTCTTGCAAACGTCCAACAAAAATCTGTTAACATATGATGACCCTATTTGGCTTGGTATTGTTTTCCATGCTGGAAATATCATGATGGAACTTTCTCCATATTCCTGATTAACATTTTTAATAGTCTTCAAATCAAATTTCTCCAACGAACCACAACTTTTCTTGCAATATATTATTTTTATACAGGTGTCTCAGCGAGACCGGTCATTAGACGTTTCTGGGGTTCTGGCGAAAATAAAAATTTGAGAATTCAGACTTAAGTATTATCATTTACGATCTCTTCGACTAAAATATTTTCAGATTTCTTGCACTTCCGGTTATACCGGAAGTCAACGGAAGTCACCACCTACTTTATTTTTTTAAATGGAACACCCTGTATATTTTTACATATTAGGATTTGTCTGTTTTCAAGATTTATAAATAAATTTTGCTTTTTGCAATTTGATTCGGCCGTTCTCGAGTTATTCGAATTTTTCTAGAAAAATCTGTTCCAGCAGACATTTGTTCAAAAAATCAGAGAACATTCGATTTTTGGGATATCAATTAAGGATTCAGAACATGCTTAAGCAACATGGTGGAGTATGTTTTGGTGTCGAGAACGACTGTCTAGAACGTTTGGTCACTTTACTATAGCACGTTAACTTTTCAAAATTTGGAAGTACCATAACTTCATTTTGTTAAATGGCACCCCCCACATTTTATTACTTAATCGTCTTCGGTGTCTCATTCTACATCTCTTATATCCCATATGTCCCATACCTAACATTAATAGTTTGTGAGATAATTAGGGTTTTTTGAAAAATCCACACATATCATATGGATATTTAGCCTAGTGTGCCATGAAAAACAAGCCTTCTCAATGAGTGCTTGTCAAAGACTGACTTGTTTACGTCACTTGATGCATGTGAGCTAATAATTATCTGTTAGGTAAATTAATATTAGTACTGAAAAGAGTTAAAATCGATAACAACAACGAAAATAATATTTACACAAATCAAGAAATTCTTAATTTATTTTTTATGCATGAAAAGCGCGACAAAGTTCATAGTATGATTCCCAGATCTTCTTTGGCAGCTCGAATTGAGATGTTGGGACTAGGCTCGAAATAAGTCAAGGTATTCACCTCTTCCGTTGCATTATCTACTACATTTTTTGGTCAGTTTAACACGTGATTAATTCGTCCAAAATGGAATAAATTTGCTTCTATTCTTCTAAATTTACCTTTTATCATCGGAGGTAAATGTGGATAATTTTCATTAAACATTCTGCAAGTTCTACTGAGAACTTTGTCGCATTTCTTCATTTGTATAAACATTATTTACGTTATTAATATCCATTTTAACTGGTTTTAGGTCCACTTTTACCACCTCTTGATAAATTTAACCGATAGATAAATTGACGCTCTTAGCCAATGAGAGCGCTTAAAACCGCTGTAACCATGGTAATTATCCATCGGTTAAATTTATCAAGAGGTGGTAAAAGTGGGCCTTAGACTCACAAGCATCAAACAACCTAAATTAGACTTTGACGTTTATCAATAAGTCATTAAACATTTGTTTTCCATGCCACACTTGGTTAATATCGACATATGTGAGCATTTTTCAAAAAATCTTAATTATTTCTAAAACTATTAATGTTAGGCATAGGACATATGGATTATAAAAGATGTAACATGAGACGCCGAAGACGGCTAAGTAATAAAATATGGGGGTTGCCATTTAAAAAAATGAAGTTATGGTGCTTCCAAATTTCGAAAAGTTAACGTGTCATAGTAAAGTGAACAAACGATCTAGACAGCCGTTCTCGGCACCAAAACATACTCCATAATGTTGTTTAAGCATGTTCTGAATCCTAAATTGATATCTCAAAAAACCAGTGTTCAATGATTTTTTGAAGAAATGTCCGCTGGAGCAAATTTTTCTAGAAAAATTCGAATAACTCGAGAACGGCCGAATCAAATTGCAAAAAGTAAAGTTATTTATAAACCTTCCAAACAGACAAATCCAAATATGTAAAAACATACAGGTGTTCCATTTAAAAAAATAAAGTAAGTGGCGACTTCCGGTATAACCGGAAGTGCTAGAAATCTGAAAATATTTTAGACGAAGAGAACGTAATTGATAATACTTAAGTCGGAATTCTCAAATTTTTATTTTGGCCAGAACCCCAGAAACGTCTAATGACCGGTCTCGCTGAGACACCCTGTATATTATTGCAACAATTCCCTGATCTGAGGTCCGACGAAAATTCCTTCTTTTAGTTTTACATCACTAACTTTAGGAATCTTTTCTTTTAAGTACAGGATGGTTCAAATTCGATATCCAAATAGGCTCGGAAACCATAAGAGTTAAAAGCGCTATCGTCTTGTGTTTTTGCCCTAGAAGGCAAAATTGAAAATATCATAAAACCAGCAAGTGCAATTATGTTGGTTATTATATATTATTATTATAATAACCAACCAATCGTTTATTGTGCCATAAGGTTGTCCTTTTATACTCGTCAAAAATATATTAATAATTAAAAATCAAAAGGAGGTAGATTACATCATATGATTGATAAGGGTTATAAACCCATTACCACTACTATTACCAACGCTTATTACCCATTTATACGAACACGCAGCGTTTTGCCATATTACAACATTACCCTGCAACAGCTCGTCAACAGAGTAGAACGCCTTTACAATTAGATACGACCTGAGCTTAGACGTTAAACTAGCCAGCGTCAAGTCAAGAACGCTGCCAGCTGCAGCCTGTTATATAAAACCTGACTCATGTAATTCGATCCCCGCTGCCCTCATGTATATGATCTCTTTTACGAGTATTGTAGTCATGAAAATCCCCATGAGTAGGCATCTGACCAATTCGTTTATGTGCATATATAATTAACTGAAGAACGTAAAGTGAAGGCAAGGTTAGAATCTGAAACTTAATAAAGAAAGATCTACAATCTTCAGCATAACCAAGATTACTCAGCACACGCACCGCCCTACGCTGAAGTCTAAAAGCATATTGACTTGTAGGGCTGTTCCCCCAAGCCAAAATAGCATAATTAATATAGGAGTGAATAAAGGCATAGTATGCAGCTTAAGGACTCCTCCATCCACAATCTTAGATATTCTACGCAAAAGGTAAACACCACTACAAATCTTACTCCCAATAGCACATACATCGTGGATCGTCGATCGTCAAACTTCAACGTGGGAGGGGCAATAGACACACCCACTCATATTACAAGCAACAATAGTTTGTAAAACTCAGCTACAATCCTAGAAGTAAAGCAATGACTGTTAAGCCGCCACATAGTTTAAATGAAAATTGTGTTGTTAAAGAAATATATCTTAGATAAAACGAATAACATGTGGTCAACTCGGGGTTTGGGCTACAACTGACCTTGTTTATAATAGGCCTGTTTTGAGTTCAAGAGTTCTGTAGTTCTGAACAGTTCTGAATCTTTCTGCGTATACATATTGCATATTAAATGTATGCGCAGAAAGGTTCAGAACTGTTCAGAACTCCAGAACTTTTGAACCAAAACAGGCCTAATACGCCGGTGCGTTGGACGCCGGTAAATAAGCGACTGGACGTGAGCGTCAATAATAATACAAAAAATCAATATGGAAATTTTAACACAATGTTCATGTTTTTTTCAAAACAATGTCTTTCTTGATAACTAATTCACGAACAAAGTGAAAACGGCTGTCTATGTGTTTACTTCGTTTATGAAAAACTGTATTTTTGCACAGACTGGTCGCCCTTTGATTACCACAATATACGATGTTAGAGGATCATACAAATATTTCGAAACCTGTGTGTGATAACAAACGTTTCATATAAACTATTTCTGAGAAAGATGTATTTTTCCAGTGGCATCGTCTTGATGAACGTTAATTCCCAAGATATTGTTAATTGGCCCTAGGCTGAATAATTCTGTTTTTCATTTTCTAGGGACTCGATCTTCTTTGACATTAAAATCAGATCATCAACGTAATTAATCATGATTACTCGATCATCTTTTTCACCAAATACGTAAACACATGGATCTGCCAGAGTACGAACACCTACGTTTCCTATACTTCACGCATCTAGACTCTTGTACCACTCAGCGTATTGTATTCTTTTCTCATAGCGGTCAGTTATCATTTCCTCTTACCACGTGTGATGCTGATTGGGGATCTAAGTTTTCATTTCTTTTCGTGTTGTAAATTTTTGCTGGGCGACTTCGTTTACCTGTTCATATGATCTTTCGACGGTCAGGTCCTCTTCTTTTGGGCTCTTCTCTGGTTGACTAATCCTTGTTTTTGTCTTATCTAATTCCACTCTCTTCTTCTTCTTTGACTGAGTCTTGATTTGTTTCACTTGATACGTCCGCATCGGAAATTAATTGAAGCTACATCGCCTGCTTTCATAACAACTTTGGTCCCTGGTTTCCATAATCAATAAGCCTTTGATTCTTCGAAATAGCCTACCAGGATATAATTGTCACCTTTTGGTTGGAATTAGCCTCTAATTCGACCTTTGTTGAGAGCGTTTACTTTACTACCAATATTTCTCAAAAAACCAATAAGCTTTTGCTGTGTCTAAGCTTCGAATGGAGTATCAATATCAAGACACTTCGTTGCGATTCAGTTTCATAGGTATGCTGCCGTATTAATTGCTTTGGTCTTTAATGATTCCGGGAGATTTGCTTGCAGCAAAACACATCGAACCATCTCAGTCATCGTGCGATTCGCGCGTTCAGCGACTAAATTTGTTTGACAGGTACTCTCTTCTGTTATCTATTCGAAGATTCTTTATTCGTACAGTACAGCTTTTAAACTGGTTTTTGATGAGTCTATAAACAAACGTAAATCGTGTGGTTCAAATTTAATATCTATCAAGTTCACGACCGAAGTTGTGCAGATTGCAATAAACTAAATTTTCTTCTTCTGAAAAGTATTTTTTTGGTTTTTCGTGACGGCAACGAACATGACACACCTCATTATCTGTATAAAGCAAATTCCATATTTTCAATCTAAATCCTAATAGTCCAGACAAGTATACAAAAGAGGTCCAAGAATAGATCCTTGTGGTACACCCGACGATAAACTCAACGCACCCGAGATACTGTCACCAACAATAACTGATTGTCGACGATTTATTAAATAACTCTGTAGCAATTCAACGGCCACGTCATTCAGACCAACAAATTGCAAAAGGTTGATTGTATCAAATGCTTTGAAAAATGTACAAGACACAAAACTGTGGCATTTCCCTTGTCTATTTCAGACACCACATAATCTATAATGGAAATTAATGCGGTGGTACAGATGAAGCCAGGTCTAAATCCAGACTGCATTTCTGGCAAGATATTGTTTTTGTCTATAAAATCACGCAGCTAAAAAGCTAGAATTTTTTTATTTACCTTCGATAGTATGTACAGGAAGGATGCTTATGGGCCTTAAATGCATAAAATCAATAGGGTTCTTAATTTTTGGTAATGGTCTAACCAGAGCAATCTTCCACGCATCATTCTCACTTATACAAAAATTTACAATATAAGTCAAATATAAAAGAATATGAGGACATGATAACTTAATTAAACCAATCCATCTATATCCGTAGAATTACTTGTTATTGAAGATATTCTTATCATAATATCAATGTCATTAACTGGAGTAAGAGAAAAAGTTGCATTAATCAACTTATTATTGCTATAAAACTCATAAAGCTCATTATCCACTGATGTATTTTGCGTTATGGAGTTTACAAAAAAATGGTTTATATATGGTACATAGTTTTACCTCTACTAAATTATATTTGTATAAGAAGAACAGTAAATTACCAAGTGATGATAAGACAATCTATGAAATTATCCTCTCAGTCAGAATCTCGTATTCGAGAATCGTGCTTTCATGGGTTGCTTTCCAGAGCATATCTCCATTCATCCTTGTTCCCAGCCATCTTGATGTGCGTGCCATACTTTGTCCCGTGATGTTTGTGATAAGGTACTATGCCCTCTAAGATAAGTCTTTTGAGACTGTTTGTTCGCAACATGTGGCCAATAAATTTTGCAATGTTTTCAACCACCACGACTAAGTTGTGGTAGTCTGCGCCAGAAAAATGTCTCCGCAAATGTCTCAACTTTATTTTCGTTGTTTTAAAGAACACTGATCCGTAAAGAAAGATAGAGTAGACCAACCTCCTTACGAGCCTTATTTTCGTTTTCAAAGAAATTGCATGACTTTTCCATATGTTTGTTAGTCTAGTCTTGGGTTCCTTCGCTGAAGCCTTATTCGTTACTTTTTTGACTTTTTTTGATTACTTTTTTGACAATTTTAAGTCAACAACCAGATCGTTGAGATCAGCTTTTGAGTTAGTAAATGAGGTTCTTTACTATTAGGTTCCAACTACATGAGTGGTTGTGTTGCAGAACGTACATTTACATATTTCCCAGTATGTTTTAACGTTTTTTATCTCATTTATATTAGTCAAAAGTAGCAATCAGATACGTGGTCTAAAACCATATATCGCGTTACTTTTGCCCAACCTGTAAGATTCTTTACGCATGTCGTACAGCATATATCAAGTACCCAATCCTCATCTTGATGAGCCACAGAGAAGCCAAAATAATCACGATAACATGTTTTCAGGTGTTTAGTGAAATTTCGTCGCAAAAACTGTTAGGATGATTGACGCCCTTCGCATATTGAGAAACTAATATGAATTAGCTTATGTATGCTAAACTCTAACTTATCACAACAAATTTGTGGGTGACAGAAAAAAAAATAATTTGTGTTTTGTAATGTGTGGAAAAAACTTTGTCGATCAGTGTAATTTTTAAATAATTTATAAATAATTACTAGTTTTTTTGTTTACTAAAGGGACCTGGTTGGGAATATGAAACTGAATTACCTGATTGGGCGAGAGTTGACTGGATTGATCCTGAATCATCCGAGTGATCTTTCTTTATGGATATAATACACCAAGATGTAAAAATGTTTCAGTTGTTTTAGAGTTGTTTTTTTTTATACTCGTGTATATTTTTTGAATCTTTGGTTTTAATTTTAAGTTTTAAAAAAATGAATTGACAACCAACAACAATAAAGTCAAAGTAATTAAAAAGATAAAAGCAACAAAAAAAAAGATACTCTAGATACACCTAGAAAAAAAAATAATAATATTTTTATATTGTATCAAAAAAAAAAGAAGAAATAATTAAAAAGAAAATTAATAAAGTTAAAGAAAAGAAAGTTATTTCAAGTGCCATGTTACCCAAGAAAATAAAAGTATATTAAAAAAAAAATTAATAAAATAAAAAACAGGAAAAGTCATCGTAAAGAAAAAGATAAACTTGTTTTTAAGTTATATTGAAATATACTATTCGTGCCTTGACATAATAAAGTGTTGTGAACAAAAAGAACAACAAAAAAAGGTTTTATAATATTGAACAAAAAAATAAAATGGAAGAAACGTAACTGTGAAAATATCCGATTTTTAACCATATCAACCAAGTAGTCAAAGAGATCTTTGCTGATAATTTATTATCTAAAATGAAAAGAAAAAGTATAAAATTGATAAACTTTAAAAATAAGAATAAACAATTATTAGCTAATTATTTGTTCAAAAGCACTGACTGGGATTGTTAAATTTAAAAATATATAACAGGAATTTTTTATCTAGTATAATAATTTCACAAGTTTACATTATTTTTGAATATGAGTAGTCAATGAGTGTTTTTAAAGTCACATTTTTGTGTTTATTTTTCACAGGCATATACATCATTTTGTTGATGTTGGATAGTTTTCATTATGTTATGTACAAGTGGAAACAAACACCCATAAACTTTGTTAATCAATTTGTTGATTAACAAACATGTTGAGCCAACAAAACGCTCAAATTTACCTTTATAAAAGCTACCCTGTAGAACTTTCAGTCTGTTTTACGATTTTTTTAACAATTCAAGTTTTCTGACTTTAAGAATTGATATCTCTACAATGATTCAATAGATACAATAACATTAAAATTTGAAACTGTTTTAGGAATTGTTTTTGAAGTTATATATATCACTTTAATATCAAAAAATATCAAACATAATATAACATCTATGCATAAATCCTTTAAGTTCATTGATGTGAGTTTCAATATATTAATAATTCCTAGTTTGTTGTTTATGAGACAATTCCAAAATTTGAAGTTAGTCTTTTTGTATTCACAAATATTGAGGTCCACTTTTAATCTTTAATATGCTATGCTTTATATACTTAATCTTTCTCCATTTACTTATTTTTGCCTATCCAACTTACTGTCCTAATACTAATATGTCGCCTAAAGAAGAATTATCTAATTCTTACCATAGACAGAAACAATATATTATGTGCAAAAGCAATATATTTTGTGTGAAAACAGAATATGATATTCAAAGGCAACGTATTATGGTGACAGCGAAAATGTTTTGGATAAATACAAAATGTTATGCTCTCAAATAGAATATAGTATTCATAAATACTATTCTGAACAGCAAAAAATTATTTGCATTACATTAAGAGCAGAAGTCATATTATAGAATAGAACATCACGCACAGAAAAGTATCATAACCACATATAGTATGCATTAAAACATAGTATCTGAAATACAAGTAAAATATCAAAGGCAGATCAAAATATTATGTTCATCATAGAAGACAGAAAATTATCAGACGTAAAGCATAATAATATAGGGAAAAATAAAATATTACATGAAAAAACTTGCTAAGTTTGATTTAAAAAATGTTTCCTTAATTACATAAACAACTGATCTACTAATTTTTAAATTTATTTCAACTTTGTGATGTTCCATCTTTTAGAGCTTGTCAATTAAATCGCTTTGACACCTATCATTCATTTCATTAAGCATCATTGGCTTTACCCATATTTACATATTTATATTTACTTTTGCAAAATTCATGAATTTAAAAATACGCCAAATATTTTGGACATTTCGAACTATCTTTAAACCCAAACATACATTTCTATATCCAGTTGTTTTTGAGATAAAAACTAAAAGTGACTAATACTGATTCTTGAAAAAACTTCGAGATTGTTAAATAAGAATAGTTCTGAGAGTAACACTTAAATATAAATATGATTTTGCATGATTAAAGCACACACAGCCATTGATGTACTTGAAAAAAACGAAACTACCATAATGGATATCCTGTACACTCATCAAAACGTTGTGATCCAAATTTAAAACAATAATTAAGAATAATATATTAATATACTAACCTAGTAAAAAACAATAATCTTCCTCATTTAGATATGGTTTCATAAGGTTTGATTCCTAAGATAAAACATCCGCTCTGCAAAAAAATAGAGAAAACAACGTCTTAACTTAAGTTATTAACTCCAACTGTCGGATTTATTATGCTAATAATTTATAACAAATCCTTCTCCCCTAACCACAGCCAAGTATCGTCTGAATATCTCGATCATAATCTAAAATTATATCGTTAATAAATTAATGCCCCAAATAAAAGGCGTATTACATTGAGGTGAAAAAGACTTTGAATAAGTTGACATATTTTGAAATAACTCTTCTAAAAACAATTCAAACAATTTATGTGTTTGGGTAATTGAATTCAACCGTCAATTTTACGCTAATACTCTGGTTGAGTAAAATTTCTTGACACAATTAGTAATAAAACATCTTTATCACTACGAGTTTATTATGCAGATTATTATGTAGATGATTATGCAAATTTCAAGCGTTATAAAGTTTGTTGTAAAAATTTGACAACTTTTTTACATAAATTAGACCTGCGATCTCAGCAAAGTATTTAGTATAAAAAATATTGTACACCAAATATTTTTAAATAAAATAAATAAGAAATAGCAAAGAAAGAATTTCACAAAACTTCGATTTCTATAACAATCGCACATTTTTATTTGAATTAACATCTTTGTAATGGAAATATCTTGATTGAGATTTTTTTTTGGCAACATACTCTTTTAATTTGGATCAAAAAGGTTATAAAATTTTGTTTAAAATTACCTCAATTAAAACCATTTTCGCGTTCTATTAATAAATTCTCTTGGGAACAAGTGAACAATTAAGGTAAGAGAGAATGTATTTTGATAAAGAAAAAAATACTCTAAATGCTGTTCATGTCGTTAAAATACTTCTAAGTTGTTGCTCTAATTGGATAAATTGGACAGTTAAAATACCTTTTAAGTTCAAAATTTTAAATTTATAGAAAATACAAACCTAATAATAATGAGTACATTTGCCAAGAAAGATTTTCTGATCATTACATTTAAACACTAAATGTATGTTTTCTGATGACACGCCTGCATTTTGCTTCTCTCTCTTGAGTAATAACCCATTGATAGAATCGATCATAACGCAATTCAGCATTATGTTTTAAGAAATTTTATTCAGTTTTATTCTGAACAAGCAGAATATTTTATTCGTTGTATTTGCGTTATGTTTATCTGCCAGGCATTATTTATATCTGTATCCACACAGCCTACAATATAAAGTTATATTCTTCTCCTATTATAATATTTCACCACACATGGTTGCTCCACTTAACTTTTTCTTTGTTGGGAATACTGTTTAACATAGTTTAAAAGATTAACTCCAAATACATTCTCTTGTTATTTCTAATTTCATTTAATTTAATTCCTCTATGATCTTAGAATAAGTGAAAGCACTACCTAGAATGCGAGTTACTCTAACAGTTCTGGTTCTCAGGTTTTGTAATAGAACAACAGAAAAGAAATTATCAAAGAACAAATGAGAAAATGAGTTCCTTTTATTTTGATCTTAGAACATGGGCATATTCCTCGAACTAATTTATATAGCTTCGTGGATTAATAAACATAACTTGCACATACATAACACATAGATATAACAGTCTCCTTTTCTTAACTTAGTTTTTCTCTGGTTTAATCAAATTTGTCAAAATAATGGTATGAACAGGCATTCAAAGGCTGTCAAATTTGAACAAAAAGAAGGCTTAACACAACAAAGCAAATTAGGATATCGTTATGTGATTGAGAGCAAGAAAGCAATAATTGAATTGTTCTTGATAATGTTAAAAACCTTAAATATTTATTATTTCGGACGATTGTCAAACATGTCACTTTCTGCTTCTAGACAAACAGTTGCCCGATTTATCATGGATAACGCACTCTGTGCAACATGTTTCTATCAAATACGCGAAAAAAAATCAGTGGATTCAAATCCGGAGAGGTATAAGACCATAACATAGGTCCATCTTTTCCAATTCATGGTTTGAGGAAATTTTCATTTAGGAAACTTTTAACTTTTAGTCCATAATGATTCGGTGCTCCATCATGTAAGAGCCTTAAAAAGAAAACACTAAAAAATTGAAGATACAAAGATCTCACAAAGGTGTGACCTTTCGCTGTGACCTTCAGAGAATGTTTTCAATCAAATGTGGATCGTTATCATTACAACTATGATCGTTCATCATCTGGGACTTGAAATTTTTGGCACCTAAATGGACACAAATAATTCCTTTTTAATAATTTATGAATTTTACCCTATTGGATGCATAGCCCGCCGTTTGAAGTACACAACACTAAAGGCAATGATACTTATTATAATAATTAATAACTATTTTAACTTTTTCATTTAATAGTTATTGAGATATCAATTTTTAAAGTCAGCTCTTACATTTCAAGTATATCGTATAAATTGTTATTTATTAAATTGGTATTGTATAAGAATTTTAAAAAATTAAGTAGTTAATGAGATTATTCATTATGAATTGTAATTTTCAATTGCAATCTTCGTTATATTTATTCCCATTTTAGTTGCAATCTCATAAATCTGATAACCGTCAACTAACTGACCAGATAACCGCAAAAATGACTGATGGATTTGATTTTAACTCATAACAATACTTAAAAAACACTCTTGATAACTTTTGTCCAATTATTTATTTGTAAACTTGTGTTGTTAACGATCAAAATTTTATAACAATAACTTTATAAATCTTAATAAAATAATACCTTGTGATCGAACCTATTTTGAAAAAAAATTTATTATTTTCTTCTTATTTTTAATCGGCAGTGCTCATCAGTAAAAAAAACTAAATAAAGACATAATTC